CACAAAAAATTTACAGAAACATTTCATTGCAAGATTACAACATTGCAGCAATACTAAATGTCCGAATGTTTTTAAAAATATTGTAATGTAATATTGTAATAATATTACAATATGTTTTGATGTTTTTGATCATATTTTAGATATTATATTAACATATTTTGTCACATTTTCCAAAAATATCATGTGATAAATACAATAAGTATTATGCTTTGAAAGTAATATAATTTGGTCATTAATTTTTATATATAACAAAATTTGTAAAATCTCTTTCGTCTCTGAAATTTTTTTTGAGGACTCGCCCTTTCAAGGATTCATTTTATTAGAACGAAAATTAGATGGAAAAATTCATGCTGCATTTTTTATTCTATCCTGTGTTTTTCTTTTATTTATGAGAAGTAGAACTCTGCCATGTTCATCTTGTGGCGGTGCCGCGTACTGCTCGTGACTAAAGCAAAGGAAATTATCTTTCACAATATTTTTGAAATATTTCTGCAACACATTGCTGAAGTAATTAAAAAAGAATCTATGAAATGTCTCTGCAACATTATATTGCAATATCGCTGTAAGCTGCCATGTTGTAATAATCAGTATTTTTTGTAATAGATTAAATTTTTTCTTTTAGGAAATATTTTAAAGACACGTCTTTGACTGAGAGATTCTTACGAAACATTCTTTGTCCTAGGAGGAGAATTATATAACATGCGTGCTTGACGACGAGGCAACATTGCCGACACCGGAACCTGCAGCCGCCACGACGCCAGAGGAGATCCCTGCTGAGATTCAAGTGAACGGTAAAACGGAAATAAGGAAGAGCCCGCAACCGCCACCGCTGCCGCCACCTCCACCGACATTGCCACCGTCGCTTACCAGTAAGGTGAAACAAGAGCGCGAGGATTCACCGTCACCGGACGAAAGTCTGGATAGCAGCAAGAGTGGGCCGCGCTACTGCCGCTCCTGTGACATCAGCTTCAATTACCTGAGCACCTTTATTGCTCACAAGAAATTCTACTGCTCGAGTCACGCCGGTGAGGCGAGCAATAACAATAATAACAATAATAATAACAATAATAATGCTAGCGGTCACCCGACGACGCCGCCGACCGGCAGGACCGAGGCGTCGGTGCTCTAAATCTCCGAAATTCCGCAGACGACATGTCTTCCCCGTTCGTCTCTCTTCCTGGAGGATCTCCTATTGCTTTTTAGAACGCTTTGAAATAATATTTCGAAATTCTAATTTCTGAGATTTTCTATTCTTGCTTCGAGAGTTAATTGTTGACCAGATAAAAAAGGAGAAATATTGTATTCTAAATGATTGTCGCGAATTTTTCGAATAAGTTTTGTTTATGTAAAATAATCATATTTTTGTTATCACTATGATCTAATTAATTTAATCCTGGGAAATATTTACGAAATCAATTTAGTTAAATTAGGCCTATTACATTATATCTACTTCTGTACATCGTATTTTTTAACAGAGATTTCAGGAAGAGAAAGAGAGATGAAACATGTCGAAAACGCGATGATTAAAAACGGGGATTGTTTATTGTTGCCAGTTTATACATAATAATGAGTGACTATCAGACTTCTTCAATTAGTTGAATATTACGTTGTGTGATTTTTGTTGACCCAGGGAATCGTTTGTACTTATAAGCCGAAGGTATCTATGTAAATATATATACATTCATATATACATATATATATATAGAGCCATAGGAAGCTCCTTAATATATTTAATAACGCCGTCACCCAATCTTGCGTTCCAGCGGCGGCAGCGATTTAGGGGTAAACCCTTCGTAAATTTACTACGCGTATACAACACAAGGCATATACACGAAAATGTGGAATGTACTGCGGCGGAAGAAAGAGGGAAAGGGAGGGAGAGAGAGGAAGGGAGGGAGGGGGGAGGGA